AGGTCAGTGCTGGAAGCATTGTGCATTGCATAACAATACTGACACAACCCAGTCATAGTGTCCTGATGAGTAAACGCAGCAACCGACTCAATGGCACAAAAATGATCGTAAAATATGCATTACTATGTTTACATTTCTTTTTTTATTACAAAAGAAATTTGATCTGCATTCGAGGAATGGAACAACACCTCACTCTGCAGAAAGTGCATGATGAACCACTCCTATATTTAAGCTTTTTAACCTTTTGTCCATTACAAGCACAGACATTAGAATATATTATTGGAATTTTTGCAGACAAGGAAAGCTTTGATCAAAGAAGCAGCCAAGTGTGTTTTACATATGTTCTGATAAAACCTAAACTGCAGTTCTTGGCCTGCATGTAGGATTGGAGGCAAATTGGAATCATAGTTTGAGTTTGATTTGTTTCAGCAGGGCAGGGAGGCTGCTATAGTGGTTGGAGTTGAATACAAGGCAGTTAGAAAAGCTTAAGACTTGAGACTGAAGCAGAGGTTAACCAACAAGCAGAGTGACGACCCTGAACAGACAGCCAGAGCTAGAACGGCAAGGATTTAAAATACATCTATGCATTAGAAAACCCAAGGATTGGTGGAAAGACTTCAAAATAGTTGACTCATTATCCATGGATGCTCTCTGTTTGAATCTGACTCTTGCAAAGTTAAAGATAAATGCATGCCACTCTTATGACAACTAGATTGAGACCGGGTCTGAGGATAGCTTTTTCATTATCTCAGCCTACCAGGAAAACCTAAACACTGTTTCTGTGAAGAGTAGAAGGTTTCTACTTTAGTCCTGTTAAGAAAGCTCCTGATTTCAGAGCCACAGATAAAAGATAAATGCATGCAACTCTTTTAGATTTCAATTTAAAAAAAACATGTCACGTTAAACAATATGCCCTATTATGTTGATACTAAAAAAATTAATATCTTCTTCAAGCTCCTACAAAGATAACCCTCTACCTGTTTGCCCCTGACCACCATGGGAAAACTGTACTAACAGCTCTCTGTAGGGGACTCTTTCGCAAAACTCTGAAATACCTGAGCAGCATGCTATTTAACATGAGCAGGGTGTGTATAGCATTGCCCCTGTATATTTCCTGAGGTTTTTCACTAAGGTGCAAGAACTGCTGTAAATGCTTGATGTTTCTGCCCCTCGGCTTCTGGTCCAGTGGGACATAATCATTACACAGCCAGAGAAAAGCAGACAAAGCATCAGTGTTTGCTGATTTAAAAGGCAAGACTATTTAAGGTTGTGTTGCACAAGGTTTTGATCTTAGTTTTGATCAATTCATCAAAAGTATCTGACATGACAAATTCCAGTTTCCGCTTGATACCTTGCAGATCATTCATTTTATTTGGAACAACAACAATAACAGGAAAAGGCAAAACAATCAACAGAAGCATATCAACTTGCCCACATGTCCTTGTCTATCCGTGCAAATATTTTGATAACATACAACATGTCCAGACCCTGCAGCTGTCTGGTTTAAATATCAAACAGATGGGGAAAATGCACACGTCCTCATAGATCAAACATGCCAATCAGCCATATGACCAGCTTATCATGACTGAGGAGTGCTGCCAGCAGACCCACTAATGAGTTTGATGCAGACTGAGTTTCTTGAATAAGGGGTAGAAAAGCAGGCAAATTCTTCATCCTGGCATTTGGAACTTCACAGCTTCTTGACCCTCCTGCTGATATTGATAGCCTTGAGGAATAAAGCAAGCTGTAAAACAGCAAGACTCCCCTTCAAATGGACAAACACTTCAAAATGGTTGTGAAATCGTCTTCACACTGTTCTTTGAAAAAAGGATACAAAGAATTCAGAGTTGTAAAACCCATTCAGTTACTTGTCTTGTGTTTTGTTTAGAAAAAAAGGGTTAATTTCTGAATCCAAAGCTCTTATTCTCGCTACAGAAATCGTATTTATCCTGAGGAAGAAGATAAAACCCACATCTAAATGTAATTATTTGATTTAAGCAGCTAAATCAAAAGGATGAATATATAAATTTGGAGCAACAATCTGCAGAATTTCAAGACTACAAAATATATTTCTCTTGTATGGAGCATTCCTCAGAAACGAGTATATATTGTTTTTTATTTTTCCCAAATAAAAAATAAAAAAATTTTCCAGTATGGGCTCAGAGTAGGAATAGGTAGTGTTAATGAACTTTTATGGATCTGAAAAAGTAACAGGCCAAACCAAACACAGAGGAGTCTCCTCCCCTCTCTCGCCTGGCCTATATTAACTTCCCATGGAGCTCCACCCTACAACTAAAGCCACATGGAATGGAATAAGGCACTGCCAAGGCACTGAGAATAAATGCACATACCCACACAAATTTAGCTACCTGGACTACAGAGAAACCTTTTCCTCCTGTTTTGTGTTTTTTGATTCTCTTTTATTTTTTGGATGGATGCCTTTTTAATGCACAAATAATCTCTTACTTTTGGATTTATTGCATCTTTTCATCATGTTGTTCCAGTTATTTCATGAGAATTCCAACATGGGTAAGTTAGAGACAAAGCATGACATTTGTTGTTTTTATGGGTTTTTTTGTTGTTGTTTTTTGCATGTTCTCAAAAACTCAAACAGAAAAGCTTAAAGAAAGAGCAATATATTTATCATAAACAAGGGTCAGTAATAATAATCTTACATACACTCAGGTGCTTTGGGGGATTTGAATTTAAGTTTCCTCTTGAGCATCACATGAACACATAATAATATCTGCTGTACAAAGAAACAAACTGGCAGGACCCCGACTGCGTTTGTTTAGGGTTCACAGATTATAACACAGAAATAACTGAGAGGTAAAAATAGAGAGCTCTTAATCAGACACTGCTAGGACTTGATGTCAACTGTTTGTCTCATGATGTAACAGGAGAGGCTGGCAATACAGACTAAAAGGTGTCAGCATGGGGACACATTGTTAGTACTTAGAGGAGAGGATTTCTTTTAGATCGCAAAATGATTCAAAGCAAGGAGTGTTGACTTAGTTTGTTGAGTTTGTGTTTCTAAGTATTTTGTAACATTGCTTCATTGATACTGCAACACAAACAGGGCAAAGAGCAGTGACAGGGACACTGATCTAATTCTAACACTATTTATCAATGAAACCAGAGAGTCCTGTGGAAATTGGTCAAACACAATGGAGCCGGTTCACAATGAAAGCTTAAATTAAACCTTTTTAAATTGGTTTCTGTTTTTTCCTGACATGGAATTGGTTGTGTACATCTGAGCCTACGCTGAAAAAAATAATGCAACTACTTTTGGCATTTACCTATGATTAAGTAAATGCTTACTTTAACACGGTTATTTATGTCCTATCCTGCTAACATGAAACAATTGTGTTAAATTAACTAAATATGGTTAAGTAAAGGCCAAAAACAGTTGCATTATTTATGCACGGTGATGCAGGCAATGACATTTTTGGGGTTCAGATGCAGCATTCATTTGTTTCTTGAAAATAGAATAAGCTGCATACAGTAAGCTGTACAATAAGCTGCGTTTAATATTTAAAATAAATTGCTGCATTCCTTGCACCTCCTTCATAAAGATGCATCAAATAATTCTTAAAATATCAGGTGTTAATATTTCAAGCTCATGCATATGTCATGTAAATAATAGTGGGAAAAGAATAACTTAAGATGCAACCACAGAAGTGCGTGTCTGTTTTATTTTATTTTATATATTTTTTTTGAACTGGTCCTGTCGCACCATGCTCAGTCCGCATGCAGCTTCTCCATCGCAGAGCCCACCCCGGCCTGTGAGGAGCCTCCGCATTCAGGGGCACATGGACTCTCACATGGTCTGCCTGCGGATGCTGATGTAGACCGCTGCAGCTGTGATGCTGCATGCCTGCCTACACGCCCACCTGTCCGCTCATCCATTCACTGTGTCCACAGTGAGAGTCGACACCAGACGGCTGGAATATGCTCTTAAATGCAGATTAAGAATAGAATGTAATCAAAAGGCAGCTCCCGGATTTCATCTACTTTTATGGGCTATCTTTTCCCCTTCATTCTGTGCAGGATATAATGCGAGATCCAGGGGGATCACCCTGCTCATCTCCTTGCAAGGCTTCCTTTACATGCTAGAATGAAGTGCAAGGCGTTTTTCTCATCCGCAGGACTAATATTTTTAAATTTTTCTAAAAGTAAAAAAACTGTATCAAACGCAAATGCAAACAGAGAGTCGGATGGGATGAAGCAAATCTAAAAACACTGAGTTAAACATCGGAGGAAAAAAAAAAACCTAAAACAAAAAAGCTGTGATCGCATGCATGATACAGTCCAGTCACTGCACTGGATACCCTGTAGGTCTGTGTTTGTGTTTTTCTTATTTTTCAGTAACAAGCTGTATATATTTAGTAGATTCAGAAGGGAAAAAATGTTGTTGAGCATCTTCATATTTGAATAACAGTTTTAAAACATTACAGCATTAATGTTACTTCTGCGTTACCTGATAAAAGTTATAAATGTGTGTCAAATCGGTGTTCATTGAACTGGGTTTAAAACGCACAGGTATCTGTTGTTTTGAATGACTTCTGCTGCTTTCGCGTACGACTCGAAGATCAACCGATAGGTGCGTGGAGCCCACACAACATCCCGTTGAAAGTGTAGCTTTTCGATGTCCTATCCTAATAAAAATATTCTTAAGTTGCTATTGTTTTAAGTAGGTGTTTAGTCAGTTGAAAAATTACAATTAGGGATTTAATTAAGAATGTAAATGGTGTCTACAGGAACATATGTAGGCCCGATGAGTTTGATTAAATAATATATTTACTTAAATAATTCCCTACAATGTAGCATTATGCGATCAAGTATCAATTACAAAATATTTACATTTGTTAATTTCAATTTTGATAAAATGAGTAACATTTGACGAAAATGTCGAAATATTTGATTTGGCCTGCCTTAAATTTCATCTCGCCATAATAGGAGTATTTCCGACAACCCCTGAATGTAGCTCCGTTACGTCACGCCTGCCTTTCATAGGCAGCCCAAATGGCGAATGCAGCAGATCCGCAGACCTCCGGGAGCGAAGCGCACGCAAACCTCGTTCTGGTTTGGTTTTAACAATAACCCAGTAAATGCAACGAATGAAGCCTGTAAGTAGAGTATCTTATCTTCATACTCATCACGTATATTTACACTCTGAGTCGTTTCAATACGGGTTTTGTATCGTTTGAAGCCGTTTTACCGAGCTTGGCTTTGTGTTTGTCGGCGCTGTGAGAGCCTGGACCACGTAGTCAAAACCTTCCGCCAACAACGGCTCCTTTGTTCGCGCTATTACAACGCTTCTTTCCTAAACGGGCCTCGATTACTTAACACGAACGGCTTATTAAAAGGAAAAAACCTCATATCTACAGATATAGACGCATTTATCTTTATTCTGGATACGGGTTTGTGATAAATTTACACCGAGCTGTGGTAGCATTCTTGTCGTTTTTTCCACCGCCCGGTAACTAACCCACTGAGGCCTAATATGGGATTTAATAACAGCGTAGGAGCCGTCATTTTTTAAATGCGTTATTATTATTAACAGTCTATCAATTTTATATATTAGGCCTTGTTTTTATTTCCTGAAATGCAATGATGGCCCGAACCGGATTGGCAAGCGCCTTTTGCCGGGTAGAGGAGGAGGGGCTAGAGTCCCTTACGACAGCGGGGATGGAAATTGTGGCTCTCCTCCAAGATCCACATCATATGGCCCCGCTGACCCAATGGAACCGGTTCTTTTTTACTTAACCCAACGAGTAAGCCCTTTAAAACAGGCCAAGGCAGGGTTGAAGTACTATATGTCGAGTAATACGTTAAGAAGTACTAATACAACTATTAATGGACAGAAATACAAACAAATTGGGGGAGAAAATGGCAAATTCAAATCCTTATCTATAAATCTTACTAACAATAGGGTTTGAAATTAGAATAATTTCAATAAGGTTCACTTGATATGCAAAGTTTAAAAGGTAACAAACCTAAGGTGTATTATTACAATACCAAATTAATAACACATCATATTTCATATCATATTTTTACTTTAATTACCATTTTTTTATTGTATTCTCACTGTGTTTTTAATCCAATGGTAATGTCCTGTTTTTTTCCTGGTAAAAGCTTTCAGATAGACCTGTTCTTAAAAAAAAATTCTTTGCCTGGCTTTGAAAGTTAAAATTATGTATTAAATTCAGCTCATACATTTTGTAAGGTTCTGTAATTTATTTTTCTCCCGTTTTTGTTCTTCTCTTCCAGGTTATATCCAAGTAAGATGGAGGATAGTTTTGATTGTGACTGTGGCGAACTTGAGCCACCTGATCACTGAGTGAAAATTTATTTTTGAAGACTCAAAAAAAAAAAAGGCCAGAAACATTTCATTTTATATATCAGGAGACTTGACCAGAAAAATAGATACCAAGAAAAGAAAAAATATTTGTGCATTTCTTATGAAGCTGCTCAGGACCAGTCGTACACTGAATGTATCTGCACTGTGAGGATGCAACTACATGGTTTTATCTTTTAGTATAATCCGTGTTATCTTTCTTTTTTTCCTTTTCCGATTGGCCTCAAAGTCCATTCCATCGTAGTCTATAAATTATAGAGCATATCTGCTCAAGATATCCTCTCACCTAAAGGATTGGATAAGGAATTTCTTTATATATTTTTTTTTCTCCAATAATAAACATGGAAAGAAAATATGATTGTATACTAGAGTCCCATATCTGAGAGTGACGGCTAGCCAGGGGGGACTTGGTAGTCGACTGTACAGGGGTTAGTTAGTTCAGACTCTGAAGCAAAGGGGGGTTATCTGATAGCTCCTTCGGTGTTAAAGTGGGGTTAAAAGCAGGCCAGAAATTTGGCAAAAGAAGCTTATAACCAGTAATCATGGCGGAGAAATTTGAGTCACTGATGAACATCCATGGCTTCGATCTGGGCTCTCGCTACATGGACTTGAAACCTCTGGGCTATGGAGGGAACGGCCTAGTGTTCTCAGCGGTTGATACCGACTGTGACAAGCGCGTGGCGGTGAAGAAAATAATCTTGACCGACCCCCAGAGTGTGAAACACGCCCTGCGGGAAATCAAGATCATCAGACGACTTGATCATGACAACATTGTGAAGGTACAGTTTGTTGTCAGACGGAGCATCTGATGCAGTATGTGAAGTTAAGCTAATGCTAACCTTTTCTTTTTTTTGCTTCCAACAGGTGTTTGAGACGCTGGGTCCCTGCGGTCGCAGACTAACAGAGGATGTGGCGTCGCTTACAGAGGTCAATTCGGTCTACATTGTGCAGGAGTACATGGAGACTGACCTCTGTCAGCTGCTGGAGAGGGGCCCCATGTCTGAGGGCCATGCCCGGCTCTTCATGTACCAGCTCCTAAGGGGCCTTAAGTACATCCACTCGGCCAATGTGCTTCACCGTGACCTCAAGCCTGCGAACCTGTTTGTCAACACAGAGGACCTGGTTCTGAAGATTGGAGACTTTGGGTTGGCCCGCATCATGGACCCTCACTACTCTCACAAGGTAGGACGGTGATCTCTTGTAATTGACTACAATGTAAAATGCTTCCTTTTTTTTTTTTTTTTTTCTTCTTTTAAGCTGTATTTGGGTTTGTTTCAGTGCTGCACTGTATTACTTACCTTTTTGCTGTAAATTGGGGTGGTGATGAACCAATGAATATTTTAGTTTTTGTTTTTAGCTACTAATATGGTGTTCCCCCGGGTGACGTAGTTTTATAGCAGGAAGTAAAGAAGGCAGGATGTGGTTCCTTGAGATTACGTCTTGGTTTCCTTTCCCAGCTAAAAAGAGGCTGGAAATGCTAAACTCGAAAGAATGGCTCTTGTTTGGTTCCATTATCTGTGTGTTCATAATTGGGTTTTAAATTGTTTTACACTCAAGCAGGCAAGATGTGCATATATGGGAAAGGTTTTTATGCAGATAATTGCAGAATTAGGTTTCAGATGTGTGGTAAAACCTGGCATCATCAGCCTGCTGTTAAGGTACATGTTTTATAACACAATGTAAAAAGAAAAAAACAACAAAACAAAAACCCCAGCGTTTTGTTCTAGCTGCAGGTATTCTTTTCTTAGTGTAAAGACTAAGATTCAACCAGTTGATTGCAGCCAGATGAGCTGAATCTTAATCAGACCAATGAGGAAATTCCTGCCCGCTGCCATATGGTTGTGTGAGCTGGAAAAAAATGTAGGTTAGCGAGTCTCTCTCTGGTTGCATGGGGACCTCGTTCGAGCTCAGATTCAGTCAGATGCTTACACGTGTCTCAGATTAGTCATTGGCGTCTAGAGTGAGCTCACGTGGTGTGATCCTTTTGACTGGTATGGCTTCATCTTCAGCCAGGACTGTACCACATCAGACAAGACTCTTGACACAGACTTGTTGGGATTCTTTTATCACACTTTTAAGCAAACAACCTATGCTATTATTGTGTAGACATTTTTCAGCTGTGACATGTCTGGCTATGAGTCAAAATTGTTGGTGGAGACTTTATGTCACTCTACAAAAGGAAGAGCAAGATGCAAGCTCACAGTTGATGGTTCGGATATTTCACTCAGCTTTGTAGCTAAGTGCAGCTTTGCAATGGGGCGTCTTCTCTCTGCATACGCACATCTATTAATTAGAAACATGCAAGTATTGTAAAGCTGCCTCTTGGGCCTTTTATATTTTACCTAAGTCTTAGTTTTTATTTTGATGCAGACATGATGGTTTGAACCTCCTTTCTGAACAACGTGGTGGTATTATCATGGTACGGGAGCTAAAGTTGATTGAATACCATTGATAAACATTTTCTTTCTAGTTTGTTTCCAAACTACGCACTTTGCCTTAACAAAAGGAACTCTGACGGAGTGATTGTGCCGGCATTAGAATGTTGTTTAGGATCCCTTGGGGCAAATATGCTTTCACAACCACCATCCACGTCATGGCAACAGACACTGGGTGCATATTTAAATGTTTCTAAAACCAGAAGCAGTCTTCCGTTCTTTTTTTGTTGGTTTTCTAGTGAACTTCAGTTCCTGGTTTACCTTTAGTAGTTAGATAACAGTAGTTGGGTTTCTCTACCTTGCCTCCAGTAATCCCTCTCTTCTTTGTGAGCTTTAAGGTTGGCCCATGTATTGGGCCAGAGCTCAAGAATGACAAAAATCTGTGTGCACTCACCCAGTTTCTCCAACCCATACCCTCCTCTCTTTCCCCAGCCAGCTCTTTGTCTTGTTTTAAGAGTAGGGGAGCGGGGGTGGGGGGGTTGCCTGGGGCTTTATTTCAATTTTCCAGTTGTGGCATGCCCTTGAACAGACAGACTTCAGAAAGACCTCTGATTCTGCTTAGCAAAGCTTTATTTGCTCTTTTAATACTTCAAACTACTGGATTATGCTTCTAAAAAGTTTGTCACTGACAGTTCTTTGTGTCATTACCTCATTTTCTTGCATTTAACAGATTTAACATTTTGCCTGTGTGAGCAGTGAATTGTTTCTAACAAGGGTCACAAAGATTTTCAAACTGAGGACGTTAGCTCTCCTGAGAAATAATTTCATACTTTAAAGCTTTTTGGGGTTTTCCTTTCAAATTAGCTCTGCCAAGGTCAGTAATTTGAGAAGCTATATAAATGACTTCAGTTTTCAACGCTTGTATAAGGAGAGTTTACAGAGGTCCTTTCTGTTACACAGGCTTCCTGAAACTCCAAACCACGAGCACAGCACTCATACGCGTCTGACCCAGTTTCTAAGTCAGCAACAGGCTGTCTGGCAGAGAGAAATATGCAATAGAAGCTGACACATACTGAGTTTCTGTTCATAAAAGCTTTGTTCCAATACAAAGTAGTTTAATGTGCTGTGGGTTTGTCTGTTATGCAGGTTTATATGTCAAGTGAATCATGGGATTGAAGTGAGGTTAGCTCTGAGTTTTCCCCCTTAACAGTCCTATTGTTGAACAGGGAAGTGCTTCTTACCGGTTTGTTTGTGGTTGAGCTACATTCAGTGTCAAAAATACCTTGGCTGAATTTGAGCTAAAAAAAAAACTGGTTTTATTCTTTTTACCAGCATTGTCCAGGAAATATTTAATACTTTTTTTTTTTTTTACTGCCATCTGGTTAGACCTGCTTCAGGATGTTGAGACTAATTCATGTGAGCCGGTTATGAGTCATATGTCAGCCTGTTCTGATCTTGATCAAGTGGTTGAGTTATTCACCAACTGTTGCCAGAGGCACCTGAAGGGTTGATGCTTTCATAAACCTGTCTGTTTCTGACAATGGCCACTATATTAAAGCAGCAAATGTTTACCTCATGAACTTTATGTCTCCAATCATTGAGCAAACTTTGATCAGCTGCTCTTAGTTTCAGAGTCCATTCTGTACAGAGAATTATACTTGCACAACCATAAATGCTAACCTAATTTGCATCCCTCTCTGCTAAACTGGTTACATACCACAGTCACGGTCTTATAAGTCAGCTTCCCCACTAGTTTCTCAGAAAGACAGCTAGCCGGCTCTAATTAGGGGTCAGTAATTAGGTGCAACCTGTCTGTGCTCCATGCAGCTAATTCGGTCCGACCTATTTCACAAGCCGCTGTTCGACAAACGGATTAGCCGGTTACCTGGAGGAAGGAGATATGTCTCCATGCTGCACTTTGTGCCATTTTTAGATCCATAAAACAAGAGCTTGCAGAGCGTCGATATGCTTCAGGATAACATGACATCAAATATCTGCAGCTAAATTAGGCAAGAAAGAGGAGCCTTGCTTGGTGGGATCGGACCAATTTGGTCCCACCATGACCTACAGCTGCAGGTGGGGGAAGCGAGGGTGTCATTTTACCACATCCCATCCCCCAAAGTATATTCCACCATACTCACTCACTCGAGCTTCCCTTTGTGTTCAGGGGCCAGTGAGTTGTTAAACTGTGGAAAGCTGGTTGGTGTCTGCTGGGGCCGCTCTTAGATTGCTGACATGGCTATGCATGTCAAATGTGCCTCACCTCCCCCTTTTCATTTAATTTCCCCCTTCTGGGGTCTGTTTCCCTAACCTAGACAGAGCACCTCTGTTAAGGAGGTTGGACCAAAGGGTTGGAGATTTAAAATGCAGCACAGCCATTAATACATTTGAACTTTACCACCAGAAATCAATGAAGAAAAGGTTACATGTGTTTCAGGGCCGCAGAAGATTTAAACAGGATAATGGATGCTTTTTTTTTGTTTAAACTTTTCAAACAATTGGGAGTAAATGTGTTTGCTGACTACCCTGCTGTACTCTGAAGGTATTCTGTCTTTTGCCATCATCACAGGGTCATCTCTCTGAAGGTCTCGTCACAAAGTGGTACAGATCTCCTCGCCTGCTGCTCTCTCCAAACAACTACACCAAAGCCATTGACTTGTGGGCTGCTGGCTGCATCTTTTCTGAGATGCTTACGGGAAAGACTCTTTTTGCAGGTAATTGACGGCTCCGATGCATGAATGTTCAAACAGTCGAGAGTCGTTTTTTAATTAGAACTTAGGAGGTAAATGTATAGCAATGGAAGGAGGCTGTGTTTATCTAGTTGGTGTTTAGATAAGGTTGGGGATGAAGGCAGAGCCTGTCTTTTATTATCTTTTCCATTTTAAATCCTGCTAGAGCTGGATCAAACTGTCTGCTAGTATGTAGGAACTGCCCTAAGCTGGGCACAAGACAAACAAAAGCTGTTCCCATGATCTTCCACTCACAGCCTGCCTAAATTCCCTTTCAGATGTTGGATGTTTTGTAACGTTTCCAGGAAACAGTCCAACGTTTGTCTGTCTGTTTCAGGAGCACACGAGCTCGAGCAGATGCAGCTGATCCTCGAGTCCATTCCCGTGCTGCATGAGGAAGACCGACAAGAACTTCACAGCGTCATTCCCGTCTTCATCCGCAGCGACATGTCGAAGCCCCACACGCCGCTGGTTAAGCTGCTGCCTGGTGTCAGTCCTCAGGGTGAGCACTGCATTATGCATCCAGAAGTAGCTGCAGAGTCAACCGGAGCTCTGAGTTCAGGGTTAGGTCGCTCATGTATCACTACTCTGGTTACCTGATTGACAGCCTCATGTTTCTGTCCTCTTTAGCCCTTGATTTTCTGGAGAAGATTCTCACCTTTAACCCGATTGACCGTCTAACTGCCGAAGAGGCCCTGGCCCACCCCTATATGGCTGACTACTCCTTCCCCCTGGATGAGCCGGTCTCTCTGCACCCCTTTCACATTGAAGACGAAGTCGATGATATTCTGCTCATGGACCAAAGCCACAGCCATACGTGGGAGAGGTGTGTTGCCAAACTCCCAAGAAAAAGATTAGATCTGATAATGGTGATTTGAAATAAAAGAACCTGTTCTGATTGGTTTATGCCATTTTAGGTATCATGAGAGCCAGTTCTCAGAGGCTGATTGGCAGTTGCACAGCACCCATGATCCAGATGAAGTTCAGGTCGACCCAAGGGCCCTCTCTGATGTTACCGACGAAGAAGAGGTCCAGGTATGTAATCTAAACTTAAGCCCTTTACCGGTGAAAGCATAAAGATGTATTATGTGATTTCTAAAAGAAAAATCCTGTTTTTCTTGTCTACAACCAGGTTGATCCCCGCAAATATGCTGACGGAGACAGAGAGAAGTTCCGGGATGACCCGTCCTTCGACTACTCTGCTCTGCTCCCATCGGAGCGATCTTGGCAGGAAGACCACCACGAGAACAAGTACTGTGATGTGCAGTGTAGTTACACTTGCAACTATAAGGCCGTGTCCCCCTCCTACCTTGACAACCTCATCTGGAGGGACAGCGAAGTCAACCACTACCATGAACCCAAGCTCATCATTGACCTGTCAAACTGGAAGGAGCAGCAGAGCAAGGAGAAGGCAGACCGCAAGGCTAAGAGCAAGTGTGAGAAGAACGGGCTCATGAAGGCCCAGATCGCACTGAAAGAGGCCGAGAAGATCCAGAGTCCCACAGAGAAGGACAGTGAACAGGAAAAACATCAGACGGAGAGGCAGCAGAACCAAGGCTTTGACTTTGACTCCTTCATCGCCAGCACCATTAAACTGAGCCTGCAGCCGGAGCCCTGTCAGGAGGTCACCCTGCTCAGCGAGGTGGGCCTTCTAAACGAGCGCAACTTCTCTGTCTCCCAGCTAGAGGCAACGCGCTCAACATCAATGTCAAAGACTATCAGTCAGGAGAAGGAGGAGAAGTGCCTGGTAAACCTGGCTCAGTTAGGCGGTGGGGGTCTAGGAGTTGTGGCCGGGGACTGCGTCTGGCCTGCTGAGCCTTGGGAGAGCGCTGGCGACTGTTTAATAGACGAAGCGTGCTGGGACATCCGTAAGGCGGACCACCTGCAGAAGGAGAGCTCGTACACCAGCTACCTGGACCACTTCTTCAGCCGGAAAGAAGACGTCACAGAGACGGTGACCAGCTTGGAGGTGGAGCCCTCAGTGGTGAAAGAGTTAGACGACGGCTTCCTGGACAGTAACACAGAGATTGTGCTTAATATGCAGCTGGACTCTCTGGCCTTGCCTGTGTTTGACAGCCCCGATGACTTGCCTCTAAAATCCATCCAGGCCTCCCTCTCCCCCTGCGCTGTCAAATGCTCCCCACAGATAGCCCACAAAACCTACAGCAGCATCTTCAAGCATCTTAATTAACGACATACCTGCATCTTCCCTCACAGTGCAAAATCTAGGCCGTTTTTATTTTAATACAATGTTATTGTACTTGAATCATTTCATACCTTTTTTTTATTATTATAGTTTTATTATTTTGAGGAGTTGAGGGGGTGATTGATTATATTTAAGAGTTTCATCGTCACTCTGAGCCTTGATCACCCGGCCTTCATGGGTTAACGTCTCATTGCTAAACTGGCATGTCATTGCACATGTAAGTACTGTAGATAGAAGGAAGGAAGGAGGGAGAAAAGTAGAGAAGTGAAGAAATGGAAGGAAAGAATTAAAGAGAGGAGATTTTTGAAGGAAATATTGGTGAGCAAACATCGCTGTGGGCTTTTAAAGTGCTTTCAAACACTCTTTCCTGGGGTTGGGGTATATATACTATAGGGGGTTGGGGGGGTTGTCTGTTTTTCTTTTCCCTTTTGTTGACTTTCTAACATGTTTCCCTGAAAAAAGTTTCCTTTACAATCCTTTCATACTGTAAATCTGACACATGATGCCAGCAGCAACCATTATCGTAGGCGTTAAAATGTAAATGTGTTATCTACCTCAAGGTAACAGCAGTGAGAGAGACACTCGAAGCCACACTAGTGCTTTACACACATGACCATCCTCATACCATGAAATGAAGAGGTCGCCAAGATGAAATCTGTCTCACTTCGGCATTCAACATAGTGAGGTGTTTCAGTAATTATTTATTTTTAGCAGATGTGCGATATTTATTTTATGAAACTTGGTTATGTCAAATGTGATTCTTGACGTTTTGAAGAGCTGAACAGACTTCCATTTTCATTTCGGCACTATAAGGATGTGCAAGTGTTCCTTTTGTTTTTAACTTAGGATGCATATTCATGTGTTTTTGTTCTAAAACAAGTTGAGGCTTTCCTCTTTTTTTCCATCTATTCTCTGTATTTTTTTTTTTTTTACATATACGGTAGGTGCATTTTGTCATTCGTGGAAAAACACATGTATCATTTGAAGAAGCGCCTAAAAGTCTTACTTTTTTTTTAAGAATAACATTTAAGTGTTTAAAAAGACCATGGAGGCATTGGAAAGGTACATGAAAATGAAAGCTAACGGTGGGTATAAAGTACGTCAGTTTTAATTGTATGTTTTTTGTTTGTCTTTTGTTAAATTTCTATGTACTTTTTCCAGGCAAGCATGATGAATTAGGTTAAGGTGTAGCATGTAGAACACTTACAGACTTGTTTTTGTAATTATTGGTTCCCCTGTTCTACAAAATATCTCAAAATAAAAATTACTGGCAAAGAAAAGTCTCATTTCTGGACAGTATCATGTATACTAAATGCTTTCCTTTGGAACGTAGGTTCTACAAAGGTCATGTTTAAGGAAAGGTGCCTTTTCAGTCTTTGGTGCAATGTTCATTGACCAGAAATCACTGCCAGAGTACTCGTAGTTTCATTCATCTGTAGTTGAAGATCAGGGGGTCTGGGGCCACAAGTGGCTCTTGGGATTCTATAATGGCTCTTAATTGTAGCTAAAAACGAGAAGTCAACTAATTCTTTTGAATATACCAGTTTTACAAGCTTAAGCAGTTTTAAATAACATTTGTAGTTAATCTTTACTTAAGAATCTGGGAATATGTTTTTAGATCAATATTTCTTCCCATTAGCTTGGAAACAGTTTTTTTTTTTTTAACCTAAAATATCCTTGAAAACAAAATGGATGCTTCCTCTATGAAACTCTTCTGTTTAACATGACAAATGTTCTATTGCTGAGATTTAACAAATATAAGTCGGTTTATTTAAAGGCCATTTAATAGTTGTTACTCTAATTATTTAGCTGGGTGTAGGTTGAAATGGTTTATTTTTTGGATTTAAAAGGTTGCAGACCCCTGATCTAATTCTAGTCTGACCTCCTCAAAGTTCCCCACATTCTAGAGATATGACTGGACCTGATGAGAGCTGCTTCATAAAACCTAGCAGCATGATGGTTCTGAAGGAACTGGCTGGAATGAGGTCATCCTACTGGACAGATCTATGTGGATAATATTTAATCACTGCAAAATGACTCTAAAAGTGCAGCTAGATTTCTGCAGGAGCTGAGCTTTGGACTTCAAACGGTTTTAAAGGGATATATTTTTGTTGGATTGTATTCATTTTGTTTTATTTTAGGTACATTTAAAAAAAAAAAAAAACTTTTTTTCATCTATCATACATGAGACATCTGTCAGTTAATTGCCAGTGAAGGGGAACAGATTACTTAATTCTCAATCTGAATTTTAAATTCAATAAAATATGAAGTTTTATTCACTGACATCTGGTTTTAAAACCACTGATTCTAGTAGCTGGCTAAAACCTTTCATCAGCTGTTAAAGTGCTTACTCTGTGGGTTATTATGCAACATGTGTTTCAAGATGAAAAGAAATTGGCATAACTAATTCATACAGGTCTTCAATTTAATCAATCTCTAGTCTAAAATCGAAGGAAGCAGAAATCTTTATTTAACCTGTAATTTTGATCAACATGAAATAAAATGTGGATAAGTTGTCAGTGTTTTTTCAGTTTGTAGACATTTCTTCAGAGGTTTAGGGTATTAACTGAGTTTTAAAATGCTTTCTTAGCATTAGGTCAGGTAAAGAACAGGTTGATACCATATTGTGCAGTTAAAGTATCAGGTTCTCATTAGCTTGTGCTGACATTGCAGAAGTCGGTGACTCACACAGTACTGATATAAGGATGGTGATCCAGTTACCTTCTATGGTTAAGAACATGTAATTCCATGGGAGGATGACCTTTTATCAACCTTATAGTGAAGAGAACTTCAAAATAAAGTTTTCAGTTGTAAAATTTTACCATAGCTGATTGGATCAAACTGACCGACTTTAGCATATGAGTTCTACGATCATTAATAAAATGTAAACAAAGCTGTGAGCGAGACAAAAGAGCAACAGTCCACCTGTCGGAAAAACCGAGATAATCTGGTCGCCTTGAGTGATCGCCTGTGGGTGTGACCATCTCTGAGAAAACAGGCTCTTCCATATGTCTTTAAATGCAAAGAAAAGAGATTAAATGTAATATTTTACATGGAATTTAAAAGTAGGTAACGCTTGGGACAGCTTCCAATCTTCCCAGGAGCTGATGACCCGTTTAATTCATGCCCTGCAACCTGAATCTCTTAGAAAAAGAAACAGAAATTTCTACGTCTAAGGCTTCACAAACCTTAGTCATCACAATGACAGGACAGTACAGGCTAAGAAAAGTGAACTAATATGCTTACCCAGGAAAAGTTAGAGAAATTATGTTCTTTCTTTTAAAATTTTTTTATAAAATAGGCAGGTCAGACAAGGTTTGCAAAGATGAATCTGAATAAACCACACGGATTTCCACAATATTTGACGACTACACTTAAAAAAAAAAAATCAAAATTTACATAAGTAAAAGTTTCTTAAAATAAGTGCATTTGTTCTTTGATTGATTAGGTAAAAGAAACATTTTGCCAATAGAACAAGACAATGTACACTTAAAATAAGAAAACACAATTGTATTATCTTATTTCAAGTACATATTATCTAGTTATCTTATTTTAAGAGTAAAAATACTTATTCCATTGGCAAAGTATCTCATTTACCTACTCAAATTAAGGATAAATACACATACCGGTAATTAAAGTAATTTGTACTTATTTCTAGATAATTTTTTCAGTGTATGCAGTGCAAAAACAATCTAGAAATAAGTAAAACAAATCTTTAAATCATATGTATTTAACCTTAATTTGAGTAGCTGTATTAGAGGATTTGCCAAAGGAATGGGATTTTTTTTTTTTTTTTTTTTTTACAAATTGCAATTAAATAAGATGCACTTTTTCTTATTTTAAGTGTAAATTGTCTTGTTCCATTGGCAAAGTTTCTCATTTATCTCCCTATGACAAGAAAAAATACACTTATTTTAAGAAGAAACTACTTAGATTTCAATTTTTTTCAGTGTAAACACAGCAAAAGAAGTGATATAGTGATGCTTTGCGCTGTTTTTTTTTTTTCACCTGTTGGACCATAGTACCCTGCAGTTACTCAGTCTACACCTGTACTGTAAAGTTTTTAAGAGTCATATGTTAGGACATCTAAATATGGGCTTCATATAAAAGATTAGTTATACATTTCTTAACAGCGAGGGACTAATAAAGCCAAAGAGAGAATAAATGTTGTGAAAATATTAAATCTATTATGCGCTTTCATGCACTGGAGCCTAGATTCAGACCATATGTTCTGATAAAGTTTGACCTCAAATTTAAATACACTGTGCAGTTACAACCTTTTCCCCAAAGCAATTATGGCATACAATCAAAACAAACTTCTGTTTTATGTTAGAAGTGTTAAAAAAAAACAAATTAAAATTTGTACCAGAATGTTTATTTTCTTTTACTTTTATCCACCTAAAATCAATTGCATTTGTTGCTGCTCCTTAGCAGACATTTTTTTGGGCCCAGTAAGAGTTTATCTAATTTCACTTTTGGTGAAAAGGAGCCTGTTTTGTTGAAAACTGTTGTACATATGCGTAGGGCAGACCTGGTTTAAAATTAAACTACAGGAAAGATTTTAGTACAAAGGTTGCATCTGGGTTTCTCCCTATAATCAACTGCAGCTGGCGTTTTCTCTCCTGCAACTTCCTGCTGGGAAATAAGGCTATCCACTGTCTGTAATGCTTTACATTTCTTTCCAGTGACATATGATTTTGCCCTCCTAAACAGGAACATAATGTAAAATATTTGTGTCTAATGATAGAGCGAGTGACTGAAATCCAAATGTAGGTCAGACACACTGTTTTCTATTAACAGCATCCCTTTCTTCTACAGGTTCCTTTGTTCTCTGCTTTAAATGCTTAAAAGTTGACTAACTTGCATCCCGCCATCATGAAACTATCTACTTACTCTGCAGAAAAGAAAAAAAATTGCACAAGTTGGAAATATAAATCTGTTACTTGGATACTTTAACAATTTGTAATGTTCTGGAAGGATCTGCTGACCTAAGATAAATCTGTATTTTGATGTTTATAAAACACTAGGCCTCAGATCTGCCATGACGTTGAATGTGTTGGAAAAACAGTGGCTTTATCCAGAAAGGGGAGCCTGATGTAGGCATGGGCTGTTAGTGTGCTGGCATGGAAATCATCCTCTGCCACAAAATCACTTTGCAAGCCGAAAGGTCTTCAGGAGAAGCTCTGACAACAATAAATACCACAGCAAATATAAAGCACGGTGGTGGTGGCATCATACTGAGGGGTTTGTTTTTTACTGTTAGTTTTACTGATACCAGTGGCCGCTGCTGCTCTCTGACACAGGGAAGGCTCAATGGTGTAATTGAATCCAAACGTCACGTATTGCATTAACCAATGTTGAAACACAAAAACCCATTACTACCACAGGTGTAAATAGCT